TCCCGCTCCCTCCAAGCCCCTGCCCCCATTTCAGCGACGCTCTCCTCGCCTCTGCCTTCGCCCCGACGGCAGACAAAACGGCACCGGCGTCCCTGCGGCGGGGAGCCCGTCCATCCCTCCGTCTGTCTGGCCCCCGGGCTGCATCCCGCCCCGCACCTGGAAAGAAGAAACCAAACGCCCCCCCCCTGCCCGCCCCCCATAACCCCCAAGCAGAACAAGCAAACCGTGAACGCTGCTGCGCTGCACTGCCCTGCCCCAGGCGAGGGCCGTGCCGTGCCGTGCCGTGCCTCTCTCTACTCGCCGCCCTCCAGGACGGGGCTCACCGCGAAGGCGCCGGGCTCCTGGGGGGGCTCACACTCCAGGTCTCCCTTGGTGCTCTCGCTGCTGGACAGGCACCCCAGGCCGGAGTCCTGGCTGCTGGGCGGCGAAAACACTGCGGGGGGCGGGGGGGGGGAACAGAAAGAAAAAACAGCGCATGAGCCCCCATCTCCGACCACAGGGACCCTCACGGGGCTCCTCTTCCCGGGAAAGAGGGGCAAGGAGTGCCCCCCGCATGGTGGATGCCGGCCTCTCTACTCGGGACAAGGGCAATGCAGCGGGGCAACGATGGGGAAAGGCTGGGGGAAAACAACTGGGGGCCAGAACCGCTACACCCCCCGAAACTAACCTGCTCACAGACCTAAGGGGCCGGCTCGGGCAGGGCGAGGCTAAGGCCAAATATTAAGGAATTTAAGACTAATATAGTGCGAGGAACGGTTGCTACATTGCAATTTGCAGTAGATACAGAAAAGAAGTAAAAGGGTCTCTGACCTTCCTAACCTTAGATGAGTTGTGATCCACCCCCACCACTCCCTTCCTGCCTACCGTGAATATAATTAAGGGGAAGCTGCAGTGGTAATTTCTCTCCTCATTAACTTCCTGATTGGTTTCAGACTCAGGATTCTGGCGCGCGGCAGTTTGTCACCAATTCCAAATGGCCAATCGTTAATACTAATGTTTGTGTAACTAACTGCCAGCATCTGCCACGGCGTCTTGTACAACAATAATAGTGAAAGGGTAACATTACTGCTTCCCGTGTTAATTCAGATTCTGTTCATCAATAGGAAAATCTATGATGTAATTAGCAAAATGCATCGGTAGTTGAGGCAGTCGAAGGGAACTAAATCACAGCGGGAGCTCCATGGGCCCCTGACACCTTAATCATCAATACTTACTACGTTCCGGATTTTATCTCTGTTTAGTGAGGAATATTACCAGGCTGCGATCTTTTAAAAGAGAACACTGTTTACAACCATTACTCGTTTTTTAGAAGCCATGATGAATGCAGCTCAACTGTGCCAGAACAACTAACAAGGAGCTCAGGCTTAAACTGTTCCCATATCCCACAGCTGTGCCCAGGTGAGCAGCTCCTCCACGCTTGAGCCCTGGGTGCTTGCAGGCACAGGGGACCTCTAGCACGTCTGAAGTTCAATGAGAAAGAAAAAGGCCTGACACCTAGGAAAACCCAACAGGATCCAGCGAAAGTAAGCACGAGCCATCTGGGTTCACCCCATCACTGGGAAAACTAGAAACACTCTCTTAAAAGATCCACCAACATCCCATTTCTGTTTCTAGTATCACCTATTTCTGCAGTAACTTGCATTTGCAGCTCAGCTTCCTGATTTGTCCTTATTTTGAACACAACCCGGGTTACTATGCAATGGAAAATCATTACGGAGTTGAGGTCTCGTGTATCATTTTCACGTGACCTTTCATGCTTTTCAAGCATATCTTTTTCCATGACTACATAAAACAGCAATTTCTGTTACTTTTGGGGAGTCTTGCCCATTTTTGACACTACAGAACCTGGCTCCTTGGTTTTATGCACATCTCTCCTTTGATACACGCCAGGGACAAATAAAGCTCTAACATCGCCCTAACACAGCAGACTCCACTATTGTCTTAGAGCTGACATAAACCTTTATTGCCCAAGATCTCCTAGGACTTGAACCAGATGCAAACATGCAGGTTAGGGAAAATGAGTGGAAGAACAGAGGAACATTTCTGCTCCTCTAGAAGGAAAGCTAGCCCTCCTCATAAGAAGGGCTCACAGAACAAGCATATTCATTGGGTGGCCCAGTCTGCACCAGACATGCACAATCTAAGGCACACACTACGTATTATTCGGGTGAGCAAATTGGAGTGGTTCATACTACTATGAAACAACTGAACAGAGATAACTATGCCAGAGAAGAAACCCCCTTCAGAAAACGCATCAATCAGCACCTCTCCCGCACTATAGACTACCTTTTAAGGGTCATTCAGGGCCTTAGCTTTCGCCTGCCAACAACACATTAGTTGGATCTGGCTATATCTAGCACCAGGAATTGCCTCTTCATGAGGTATCTCATATTATGTATTACACAAACAGTAGTGTGGCTTCCATGAGGCTGGCTGGTTCAGGGGCTCAGCCGTCTTGACTCTGAAACCTTGCTCTCCTCTCATTTAGCAAAGCCCAATGTGTTAAGATTCAGGACATGCTGTAAGGATTCAGGTATCTCTTGTGTTCCCACACTGTGGGGCAGAAGTATGAAGGAAGCGATTGAGGTTGAAAGAGGATAAATTTTTATTTACTCCTGAGTAGCCAAATGGGCAAGAGGCTTATTTATTTTAAAGGATTTGTTAATACTTTTAGTGTGCATGTGCCTGGAGCAATGGAAAGGCCAATTTCAAAATACCGAGATATATAAATCTCTGTGACAAACTTACAGAAAGCTTTTTTCCTAAATGGAAAGAATACGACAGAAAACCCACCCAACATGCTAGAGCACGTATGTTAAAATCCTACCACAGCAAAACTGCCACTTCGTTTTCATGATCTATTTTTCTAGCAGCTATCTATTAAATCAATCTAAACCTGGGGAATGACACAGAGGGCAACTTTTTTGATAGACACCCCCATCTGGTTTTTAGCACCTCGAGAGCTGGCTCCAAAGCCTTCTGGACCAGTGGGCTCCACCAGTCTTTCAATATTTCTCATGGGGCACCAGACATCCTGACTGACCTTCAAATGGGAAGTGTCATTAGATGGAAACAGTTCCAGCCACAGACTGATTGGCCTCTCAAGCCGCCTCAGGGTCTCTTACCTAACAACGTGGGTTGTTTATCTACTGGCTTCCAAATTAATCACAGTTTTAACACTCAGGCAATTTGGGATATATATGCTGGTCTCTGAATGTGCAAAAGGGTATATAGTGACAGCCACATAGATTTTAAAAACGATCTAGCACTACTGACATACTACCTTTAGCAAATGAGTGCTACTTCTGTAGCTAAACCAGCACTGCTTACTTGGATAGACTTTCACTGCAGCCACTGAAGTCAAGGAGCAGTGAGCAGGTGCAGTGCTGATAATAAGAGCAAGATATTCAGACTGGGACTTGTAGCTATAAAAAGGCAGCAGAAAGGAAATGAGCAATTCTGTTCCAGTGTTTTAATCACACAGCAATAAAATGCAAAAGTTCCAAGTTCAAAGAAACAAAAACCATGTTCATGTTGATTTAAATGTACGAGTTTCATCTGCTTGAGGCCTGCGGCTGATCCTCCCACTGTTGTTACACAACCCTTACCTGTGTAAATAACAGTACCAGAATTGGGTTTGTGACAGTTTTTAAAGACCATTCCTTAATCTAATTACCTTTTACCCTTGGGAAAGCACCTGAATACTTTTGAGCTGTATGAATCTGAAAAAAATTCAGCTAATATCACACAGGAAAAGGAGTGAGAAGGGATTCCAACCATAAATACAAAACCTTACATCTTCTGACACTGGAAACCACATTGACTTTTAACATGAGTGATCCCTGGAATTCAATGGTCTGAAAAGAATAATACGCTTTCAGTGATGTGAGAAAGCAGAATGATATTCATGCTTGAAAAGTGAGTATTTTCCCAAGTTTACATTTAAGAAACTATTAAATTCTCAATAAGAAACAATTTTTAAAGATTTAAAAGTGAAAGGTACAATACATTTTTTAAAACTCTTTCACCTTCTTTTCCAGGGAAAAAGAAAATAAGTAAATATGCCAGTCACACATGCCACTAAGGCCCATGCACTTCTTCCCAGTGTGCACACATATGTGTGTGAGCACAGCCATGCGTGCAGGATGGAGGGAAGCAGAACCAGACTGCCACTAGCAGCTCGAGGGCACCAGAGCATCCCTAAAGTGTGCCTGGGTTTTTGGTGTGACGGTGAACAGGAACTGCTCTTCATGTCACCTTCTCCCCTGTAGCCAAAGCATTTTCCTTTGGCAAATGCCACTGGAAATGGATGCTGGCTAAGCAAGCAGTTAACTTGCACTCCAGTCTCCACAGATGCCATATGAAGTGTCTCAAAGAACAGAAAGGCCTGGGAAACTGGTGACAGTCAAACCAAGAAGCAAGCCATGGTACCTGTGTGAATAGTAGAATGATAGAGAATGGTGTCGGTGCTCTCCCCATGTTACCACCATCTCAAGGACTGGTACCCGTCTTCTTGGTGCCACTACTGGACACAGTGGGGTGATCAGCAACACTCTGAAGACAGGGTGGCTCAGTGGCATGGAAATACCATGGGTCAAATTCAGTTTGAAAATGCTGTCCAGTTTCCACCCAAGTTAATGGTACCCTGCTACCTCACTGACTCTACCACCCACAACCAGCAAACTGCCTGCCAAGCTACAGCAACTACTGTAACACATGTGGCAACTGCCTGACAAACCATTAGGTCAAAAAAACCCAAATCAAATATAACAAACAAAAAAGCAAACCACTCCTGCTGCAAAACCAGGCACTAAGAACCAGAGGACCATCAGAATCAGCTCAGTTGCTGACTAAACAACTGAGAAGACAAACAATAAGAGAGGGTGAGAGAAACCCACCATTTTTCTATTGTGGAAAAAGTGTAAGAGTGGCAACTGGAGTGTCAGAGTCTGTCCTGACTTTGCTGTAGATTGTGGCAAGATGGACAAGATGAAATCTTGATGCAAACACATGCAGAAAAGTCAAGTTATCTTAAGCAATCTCCATTCATCTGTCTCTCACATTTGGAAGTGCTTAACCCTATGTTCCCAGATGTTCAACTCCTTAAGCACAGAGCTACTCAACAAAAGGTCAAAAAGAAAATCTATCGCCACTGAGTCTCTTGTGCAATTCATTCCTGTGTGAATGCACTGTTAGAAAATATGGAGGACTCCTGACTTTAACCAGGGCAAAGAAACATGCATTAGTGGCAGGCTGTTTGTTCTTCGTAAACTAGCTATGCAAGGGCATCAGTCTCATACTCTGGTATCCTGCTCTGTGCAGATCTAAGACATCAGCAGTCAGGAGCCTATGGCTTGATGGGTTCCTGCTAGGAGGTCACAGAGAAGCTGCAAAACTGTAGGGAAATGAAGAGACAGACTTTCATCAGCTGTG